TTTTGTCATCAATAATGTTGTTCTGAACCTGTACAACTTTGTTTCTTTTAAGATATCTTGAAGAATGTTTTAACTGTTTTTGTCTACTCCATGAAAGTCAGTAGGTTTCACAATAGCACTGAACTCCACTGACTTTCACTGTATGGACAAAAAACATTGAGATATTTTTTTTTCAACATTTTTCTGTGATCCACAGAATAGATTTCTATAGATTTGTCACCTGATTGAGTTCCTTGCTTACAAAATTTGAACTAACTGGAGCTGAATAACAACACTATTGTCTTCTATAGAGCTGCTTAAAGCTGAAGTGAAATGATTTCATAATTGATTCACTTTACAGTTATCGAACTGAATCGACACTGAACTGACTTGAGCTGAATAATAACTGCTTTATAGCCAAATTTAAATTTGTCTCATATTAGATCAAATTTGATTCTGCTATTTTCCTGTTTATTACTGTGAAACTGCTTTGAAACAATCTGTATTGTATACAGCGCTATATAAATAAAGGTGACTTGGCTGCAGTTTACAAACACCTGCCGGCACTGACGCTTCACCAGAAAGTGGAAGAGAAAATCAGTCATGTCTTGAGTAAAACCATGGCGTTTAGGTGAGTCACTTGGCTAAAAGTGGTGCCATACCTGCATTTCCTCTCTGTTCTCCTTTGGCCCTTCACCTGCTTCGCAAGCTGAGACTGTGCACGTCCATCACCACAAACATGGATTGAAGAGAGCTGATTAAAAACCACAGACTTTTGAAAGAATAACACAGCACCCCCGGCCCAGCCCCTCTCTTTCCATAACCCAGGCTGTATTTGTGTATCAAGTTGCCATGTAAACATAACAGCTGCTTGGATCTGGGTTGCACGGAATTCCATTCCCATTCCTTTATTTTTCTTTGCTGTGGGTGTTTAACCAAATTAAAAGCTTGATTTGGACTACGCTGCATTACGGGGCTTTGTCAAAACAAGTGAACAAATGGTTTTGAATTTGCCCACAGGTTAAGAGCTAATCTGTTCCTCACATGTGCATTACAAGACTAGCGATATATAATTACTTACACATCTGTGGTATATTGAGGAACAGTTTTGAGGTGAAACTTTGCCAAATATTAATTTCAGCATGATAAGATTTTGATTTTGTGAAGATAAGCCTCCTTGGGATCTGGAGCTAAGGTTTGGTTTGTTAATATTAATGAGACCACGTGACTGAGAGCACACCGAAGATTAAATGGCATCAACATGAACTAATTAATATTCAAGAGCTATTCTTCTTAAATTTGCCTACCTGTTCAGCAGGTAAACCACACTCGCCATGATGAAAGAGCCGGCAAAAAGAACAACAAACTCACAAATAACAAAAATGCCTTTTTTTTTGATTACATAATACATGAGGCCTTGAAAGTACATTATATAGGCTACACACTGCAACGATGCATTCAAAAATAGCCCACTTCACTAAGGTTAAAATTTTCATGCATTCACACTACAACCATAGAAACAGTCAAGCGGTTATCTAAAATGAATTGTCACTCAGCACTATCAAAAGCCCTCTTCCTGCTCTTCTCAAAAGCAAATATCTTAAATAATAATTACAAAGAAGCCTTCTAACAGTCGTTTGCATTAACTGAAGCTTTAATGATGACAACTTACACTATCGTTTAAAAGTTTGAGTCGAGTACAAATTTTCAGTGCTTTTGAAAGATGTCTTATGCTCACCAAAATTCAATTTATTTTATTCAAAATACAATAAAAACAATAAAATTGTGAAATAGTATTATCATTTATTTATTATTAAAATATTTTATTACAATAAAAAATGTATTTTATTTTAGCATTTTAAAATGTAATGTGTTGTATTATCAATGTTCAAAACAGCTGTGATGCTTAATATTTTTGTCAAAGCTGTGATACTTTTTTAGGATTCTTTGAAGAGAAAGTTGAAACTAACAGCATTTATTTGAAACGTAAATATTTAGGATTTTTTTCTCATTACAAATGTCTTTAAAGTGACTGAATGTAATACATCCTTGCTTGAAAAAAAGTATTCATTTATTTATTTAAAATAAAAAATAAATAAATAATAAAAAATCTTACTGACCACAAACTTTTGAATGGTAGTGTGTGGCTGAACCAGTGGTGTTAATTTTGGACAGGACTATCTACCTGAACAATAACAGAAGGAGTGTTTGGGAAACCTGTTTGGAAATCATCTTTTTTTTGTTGTTGTTTTTGCATTCCATGTGGAGGCACAGAAATTACACACCTCCTGTTACAGGGGCCCTGGGTGTGTAGTCTACCATCCCACACTCAGATAAGGGCAGGTCTGGCCTATAGGAGCATAGCATGCAAACTGCAAACCAAACCCCGCAAAAACGAGCAAACTGGACATTACACAGCCCAGGAAGCAGCGATTGGCCCCATCAATAATTAACTTCAATTACATGAATCATTCATTTCTCCACCAGCCTGGACATGCACCTGTAACAACATATTTCATTACAGACACCGGATCTTAGATCTTTGGAGATGTCGCATTGTGAAGACGCATTTGGGGAAGATTTCAGAGCTCAGTGAAGCACCTGACAGACACGTCGGCAGCTGATGTGAGCTCTGCTGCTCACCCCCTTCAGCTGAGCTCAGGAGGGACCCGCCACACACAGCGACAAACACACTCCCACTCTGACAAGTAAAAACGCCTAATTTCAAACATCCTCGAACTGCTGCTGCAGAAACAGAAAGGGTGAAAAAATCAAAACCACCCAAGCAACCATGATGTTGGCTAGTGAGGAACGGGCCAGCCAACATGATCTATGTGTTGCATCAGGATCTGCCTCTCTCTATGCCAATTACCCTCATTATCAGCTGCACTTTCAGTGGCATGGACACTTTCGGCTAAAGAGAGATCAATAGAAAAGCACAGCCCAATGAGGGGCGACACCTGGACCGCATGCTATTGTCATGAAGAGAGCTCATTACCAAGCTCTCTGCAGAGCAGGTGTAACATCGCCACGGCGACACGATGCAACTCTAGAAAAATTACAGCAGCTTTGGATGAGCACAGTCAAGCTGTTGTCAAACTGTTTGCGTCAACAGCCACCCCTGATCTCATTATGAGGATAATGCAAATACATATCTCATTTGCTCACAATTAACAGTAGTGTTTCACATCACTGACACTCGGCTCTTCTTACTTACAACATAGTTTAAAAAGGTGGAGAAAATACACACCTGTATTTTGCATAAAGGAAAAAAAAAGAAAGATTACATAGATTAGATTATATTTGGAAATGCCATGTAAAACAGTGACATTTTATTTTTTTAATATCACAATGTGGGAGTATGAAGCATAGGAAAAATAATATAATCAAACATAAACTGTACTGTTTATTTGTTGTATACTGTTTAAAATATGATCTGCAGATTGTTTTGGGGGTCAATGACAAATAAGAATGCCCAAAATGATTAAAAGGAAAAAAAATTATGTAGTTGCATGTATTTTAGTTCTGCATGCAATGCATGTTGGTAAAATAAATAAATAAACTTAAAACTGCATTTTCTACAAATGCTGAAGGACTTCAATTACAAAAAAAACTAATAAAATGATTTAAAATGCAATAAAATTACTTCATATTTTCAAACATTTTTTAATGGTAAAAAATACACATTTTTTAACATACATAATTAATGATACAAATACCATAAAAAAGACATGTATATTAAGAGGTTTTCATAGGGTTACTGGACATGCATTTTTTTTTTTTTTACTTCTTGTAATGACCTTTACAAAGAGTCATTAAGGTCTAAAGGGGTCCTCTCTCTGATTTATGGCTTTCTTGTCACATAACAACACAATCAAATGACTTCCTGCAGGTTGACAACCACACCAACATGGTGTTCAAAAGTGGGTTGATTTGTCAAAATATTTCAAATATTAGTAATGTTTTAATGCATTTAAAACAAACCAACTTAACTGCTTTTTTATGAAATAGCAAGAAAATATCATTACAAGTGACAAACGTTTTCCAGAATTGTCATCTTTTTCATGATTGCTTTTTCTCCAGGCAGATACAGCACCTACTATATCAGAATGACTTGTTCATTTTCGAATGGTGTACTGAAGTCAGTTTGGTTTAAAATGGCATTTTATTGTATTTCTGAATAACTTAATAATAGATTCGGACAAAAACGAGACCCACGTCATTGACCCTTTAACAACAGCCAGCACAACATATTAGTGCAGATAAGAGAATCCGATTTGAACCGGATGACAAGAAGCTAAATCCAATGTCCTTCCAAATTGGGGAAATATATTTGCTTCTAATAAATTACACGAACATCTAAATAACGTCTGAATACTTTGTAAAGTCAGTATTGCCGATGTCGCTCGTATAATCCGAAATGCATCACTTTTATCGGGCACCACTCTTCAGACTGACTTCAGCAACCTGTTGATGCAGCTTCCAGACCAAAAGCAACATGACAGGACTAAACGCGACATGTAGCACACATATTTCTATTACAATTAAACCCATTTAACTTGAGCTACTCGGTCAGTCAACGCGAACAGGCGGGTCCACAGCAGTATCTCCGAATCAGCTCACGCACTTCCACGAGAATTAAAGCGACTCGTGAAGCAAAGCAACGGCGGAACAAAGCGGTTAAGTTGCTCCTATGACAGATCTCGCTGTTATTCAGACAGTTACAGCTTTTGAAGGAAGTTTGCCTAGTTACGGTAACAGTTAGCTCGTAATTTAACATATTCATCTTACAGACGCAATGACCAACATGAATGAATACAAACCGATCTCAAAACAAACTGACTGAAGTTAGCGAACCAGATGAGCTAACCAACTAGCGTGCTAGTGTGACTCTTAATAGACAGCGTAGAAGGAGACCAGGGCGTGAGAACACGTCAAGATGTACATTACTCAACCTCCGTGGCCCGTTAAATGTACATTCAAATCATTTTGATTTCTCTAAGCAGTAAAAAGATATTCACCTCAGCCTTCTGCTTAGATCTGCCCTGGCTTTACTGTTCTTTTCCCTCTCTCTCTCTCTCTCCTCCAGTTGCTGTTGCTGCTGCTGCTGCTGTTGCTGAGTGTTGCTCCCGTTGGTAAGTAACTGTCTCCACGACTACAGTCACTATGGCGAGCGAGGGTCTCGAGGCAACTGTTGCTACCGTCCTCTTCATACGTCAAGGGCTAAAAGGCGAAAGGGGGAGGGGCTATCCTCGAGCCCCTCCCAACGCGTTCTGCGCTGAGCTCCAGCGGGTAAATGTTTGATTCCCGCGGAGAGAGGCGCACAAACGCGCCTCGATTCTGCTCTTCTCCGCCAAAACGTTGTCATTTTACCGCGCTAACTGCCAGATAAAGGTGGTAAAACGACCGAGATGTTACACTTCTTTCCGCATGGCTTCCCAATTTAGAGAAGGACAAAAAAACAACGCTTGGTTAGTCCGCGCATACTTTAGTACACGTAATACATTTGCAAAGTAATATCTAAACTACGCAACTCTATAAACGGTAGTACAATCTATAAACGTTGAAACTTAAAAGGGTTGCTAAGTTCATTCATTAGACCTGTCCATGATGTCATGCGTAGTTCCTAACAATCACCGCTTGGTGGCGGTGTATGAACACTTGTCCTCATCAGGAGGGGACTGCTGTTTCAAAAGAAATACAAGCGTATTGCACACTGTATATGGCCTACTATCTTAAAACTATTTATGTGAAGTAGTTTAAACCTTTCGGTGATAAACTAATTTCTAACAGCATTATATTGCGTTATTGTTATCTCGTGAAAACCATAAAAAAATGTTTTGTGAATTTTGTTGTTTTTTATGTCATTACAATGGTTACATTTACATGTATGCATTTAGCAGACGCTTTTATCCAAAGCGACTTACAGTGCATTCAGGCTATACATTTCTTTTTACCTGTATGTACAATGGTTGGAGCATAAGAAAAAAAAACATTTTTGAAAAAAGGTATTTAATTCTCTGTCCTTTGTAGAGGACGCCAGGATAAAGTTATTCAAAAAACTAAAATAAAATAGACATGAAAAGGCATGTATAGGCAAAAAAAAAGAGTTTCATTCACCAATCAGTTTTTAGGTTTCAGGTTGTTTTAGCCAAACTTTGTACAAAGATGATTCTTAACTATATGTTATGAAAGATACAACTTAATGATTTGGTATACATGTATGAAAATGATGCCCTGTTTCGTAACAAATAGTCATATTCTGATTTTAAACCCTATAACATTTTTCTGAGATGTTTATTTACGACGAACAATTTGAAAATTAGCCAGATTTAAATGATAATTACAAAACATTATCATATTTCCCTAAGAGCGCTAAATTTGATCATTCTGTCAATATCAGTCATATTTAAAGACCAAGGAGAGGGAGCATTTATGATCAAACCTCCAAACATTTGATATCTCTAAAAAAAAAAAGGGATGTGCTTTGTACAGGACATCCAGACTTAAAACTGTGGCATGTGTGCTCTCAGAGAAATTCACTAAAATATAATGTCCTCTACAGAGGACAAAAGTCTATGCCTATAGGTCCCAGGAGGATATCACTTTACTACATATGTATAATTTTTAGTAAATGGTGTCCAGTTATCATCTTGAAATTAAAAAAAGTTTTAAATGCCTCTCTTGGCAATCTACTGTACATTTTTGGCGAAATTATGTATGCTTTTTCAACAGCCAACTTGAATGAGTTTTTTTTTTTTATTAAACTTAGAGTACTGTGTCCCATAGATGTTTTGATTTCTCTCTCATCACGATTCACAACTGACTTCAGATCTATCTTTGAATCTGAAATCTGCATAAAACTTGCAGTGACAACTTTAACACCTGGCCATCCAGATATTATAAACTAACGGTGAGTACAGCATTAAAGAGCTTAATGAGAGTGTATTTGTGGGTGTTATATCAGTGATAGAATTAAATACATGTGTGATTGCTACTAGTTACTTGTGTTTACGTGAGCCTAATTAGCGACCAAGCAAGACATTCCGGTTGCTCAGGTTCTCAAGTGTGAAATGTGCGACCTAGTGCACGTCTGTCATAGGCATGTCATATCATTTAAAGTCTTTATAAAGTCAAAAATAAATCTTAGAAATATATTTAAAAGCCAGGGGGGGGGAAAATCCATTTGGATCAGTGTTTCGAAGAAGGGTTTTTCACCAAATAAGATATGCAACAAAAGGAAGAATTAAAGTTACATAGCCTACAGCTCTACAAATCACAGATGCAGTTGGTGTTTTTTTTTTAATTGCCTGGTAACCCTAGCAGCAGCATCCCCGCGAGATTCGTAGTATAGACTGACGCGCACACTCCTTGCACTGATGATTAATGTCAATGACCGCGCGTAACCTTCCTCCAGCGTGCTGCTCGAGCCAGATGCTTCTCTGCCACGGGCACGGCAGCAGCACTCGAGGATCAGATATTCGGTCAGGGGTCACATGATCGCATGGTTATCCAGAGCCAAGCCGTCATTGGCTGGTCGATGGTCTGACTATGGTGGAGACTGGAGAGGAGCAGCATCATCATCATCATTACGGCAGTGCCATTTCAAATTACCACTGAATTATTTACTCTATCCTTGTACACATAGGTAGACATGTTTGCCCATGCATAAGCAAAGATTCCCGAGAAATGCTCATTCTCACCTAATGGGGGTTCTAGGATAGTCAAATGATAAGATCTCGAGTTAGTATGTGGTTGTTGATGCAGTGAATGAAATGACCCACTGCATTCAGAGTGAGGTAACAGGCTACAGGAGATCAGTACTGACTGAACATCAGGTAGTTTCCTTGAGGTTTGAGGGTCTGACTCGTTCGGTTCAGTGCCCAGTAGTGCTGGGGATTTTGATTGTTGCCAATGACAAAGTCAGTCAGCTGTGGAATCTTATTTCCGCCACACAATAAATAAAGAAGTAAATAAAGTAATTGCGGCTTTCTGTTTCACAATTAAGACTTTTTTTCTTGCATTTTACGTGTTCAAATTGTGAGAGAAATAGTTGCAGTTACCTTTTTATTTATTTATTTATTATCATTTTGTAGTGGAAACCAAACCAGAACTGCTAGGTGTAAACTCAAAAAAAAAGAAAGAAGTGAGATGTAAACTCAGAACTCTGGAGGGGGAAAGTCAGAATTGTGAGATGTGAAAGGTGAATTTGTTTAGTAGATCCAACCAATACCATTGTTTATAGATGAAAAAAATTTAATAGAATGATGAATTAATTTAAAAGATTTGTTTAAAAAAATAAAACACAGATTTGATGCCCAGATAATTTCCAAGAATCCAGAATTCTAAAAATTGTGGTTGTTAATGAGTCAACAGAAATATTGTCATGTGTTCTGCATTAGTAAACACTGGGTACAAAAACCATATGGCGGGTAGTGTTATCAGTGTCTGACACCACTCCTTTGATAAATGTGTAAATAACACATTCAAACAGTGACAGCTGCTTCAGATTTCATGGCGAAATGTAAATAATCTTTGCTAAGCAAATTTCTTTTTAACCGTGGGGGAGGATATATATATATATATATATATATATATATATATATATATATATATATATAATGATGTCATTGTGGACTTTCCTGTTTCAAAGGAAACGGCGCTTTTCCTGTTTGTGTGTGCCGAAGGAGAAATTTCCTGTTTCTCTAAGTGAAACTGGGAAATGTGTCTTGGGATGATGACAAAGTTAAGGCGGAAAGAAAAAGTTGTATGACATCAGTCAGTACATGACGTGCTTAAGTGTAGTAATACACAGCTGGAACATTTGGTTTCTAGTCTGTTTTAACATTACCATTTTTTAAAAGCTTTTACTTTCAGTAAAACCAGTCACTGTTAAATGGACTCTACTATTTTTGTCATTACAAAAAGATTTATCTTTTTCCTGCATTAAATAACAATATTCGCTGTGCACAAGGACAAAACAAGCACATCTCCATAGTTGTGTGCATATCGTTCTGTTATTTTCTGTTGCTGCCAAATTACATTCACATCCATAAATCTCTTGAGACATTTTCAAAGCAAAATGTAGCTTCCTGCTTCAAGACTGCTGAAGTTAAGATGTAAATCTGCTGATATACGTGCAGTTTCAACATGCCTGTGCTAAACTAAACTAACCTTTGGGGTCAGAAACCTGCACTTCACATATATTTATTATCTACAGTGAGGTTCAAAAGTCTCACCACCAAGGCTACATTATTTGATCAACTGTATGTGATTGTGAGATATTAGTACAATTGAAAAGAACTGTTTTCTGTTTGAATATGTTTTCAAATGTAATTTATTCTTGAAATGGTAATCTGAGTTTTCAGCATCATACTCCAGTCTTCAGTGTCACATTATCCTTCAGAAATCATTCTAATATGCTTATTCGATGCTCAAGAAACATTTCTTAATATTATCGATGTTGAAAACAGTTGTGCTGCTTACATTTTGTGAATGCCATGAAACTTCAAAGAACAGCATTTATTTGAAATAGAAATCTTTTTTAACAATGTAAAGGTCTTTGCTGTGACTTTTGATCATTTTAATGCATCTTTGATGAAGAAGACTATCAATTGCTTTAACTTCACAAACACAGGAAGCTTTTTACTGCTAGTGCAACAAATGAAGAGCAAAGGATGTGCAATTTGCACACCAGTGACACATGTAACTAGAACAGATCATCTTTGAAATTACACCAAACTTTCCCCACTACAATCATTTCTTTGTGTATGTGTCAATGGCTGAAAAAGTTCTTCCTTCCCAGAACCTCACCTCATTAGCTTTGTAAAAGAAACAAACAAGAAATACAGGACCGAGCTGTCAGTCACATACATTTTTCAAGTATTCAAAGACATTTTTCTACTACTATTAGGCCATCTAAGGCAGCTTCAGGTTTATTCTGACCTAATTCTGTTCCTGTTCCATCCCCTACTAAACGTACACAGCATACTGTATACACATGTATGTACTTCTTTTATATTTCCCTAACAGCTCATTTTAACAGACATTTACTTGCACACCTCTTTCCATATTTAGGTTTTGGTTTCTTTAGATGAGATGAACTCTAGCAGGTCACTTGTGGGTGCTCATGTGACGAAGGTGGCAAATTGGAGCAGAAAGCTCAAGTAGCTCCATGTATGTAAATGCACGGCAGCACAATATCAGCATTATTATGGCAGTGTGTAA